CGTCGCTTCGCATTCGTATTCCACTCAAATGCTTATCTAGCATGTGATGTCAGCTTATGTTCAATCAATCTTCATTTTGTCCTGCTTATTTTTTTTCGAGCGATTGGTTGTTGGCTGGTTTGCTGCTTCCCAGAGTTTATTGTTGCTTATCCCTTACAGCGGATAGGCGATCTGATCTTCAGTAACGAGTCAGCGAACGAGGTAGCTATTAATACACTTTTGTAGTAGCCTGTTAGAAAAGATTTTTACGACGCGGACGCCTAGTCTGTGAACTGTAAAGAAGCATTTACTTTGGATTAGTGTTAAAAATTCGGATGTTGTTCCAAATGCTTTGAGCTGTGGATCTCGAGACTGATTTCAGAGTTCATGATTGAAAACAAAACACGTAGTTCAGCGAAGAGGCTTCTTTTTGGCGGCGAATTCATTTTCCTTTCTTTCTATAAAATTCGACTACAAGTATATGAATTAGTTTTGGAAACGTTTGGTTAGAGCAAAAAGAGGGTGACGACAAATTCAAGTGAAAGTAGTTTGAAGATGGGGACTGAAATGATTGAATGTGTTGACCACTTCACATATTTTAGAAGTTGCAGAATTCCTGGGGATCTCGTTACTGATGATATCTCAGCGTGGGCACAAAAAAACTAGTTTACAATCTGCCAAATGAAGTCATCTTCAGCGAGACCTTACTATCTGAATACACAACAAAGAGCGTCTCTGCGGTGAAACATTTCGTTTCATCCTACATTACAACTGTTGAACATTCCTACTATGAGCAGAAAATATGAAAATATTAGAGATTTTGATCACATATGCCTTCCTTCAGCTTATTACGTTAAATAATACAATACTGTGAGTGGTGATAATGCTGGGTGCAGAATATTAGGTTAGAAAGTTAAGCTGCCTAGTCAGGTTATGAAGCTTTATAGACTGTGGTGATTAAGGTATATGCCGTACATCCGTAGACATCATATTCCTAAAACGACGATGTTAAGTGATGTAAGATTAGGTTGGAAGAAAGATGCAGGTATCCAGACGAGAAAAGCGACCAGTTGGCGAAGCCACCAACTGTTGTTTTAGATAACAGTGGCTTCTGTGAAGCGGAGTAGTCAGGGTTGAATATTTTGAAGACTCAGCTGGTTTTGACTAAATGTCCCGTGTCAACCGGGTGTTTGGTGACTGCATTTACAAAATCCCTTCCTCAGTTTTCGTATACAGATTGTTAGGAGTATTCTGAGAGAATCTAGTGGACGCTGTCTTCTCAGTCCTTTCTATGTATCTGCTACTACAAATGCATGTCAACTGGTAAACACAGCTGGCATTGTACTAGTGAGCATTTCGTATTATAAAGAGGAATAAATCTAATCGTGGGAAATGTCCTTTTCAATGCATTTTTGATTCTTTTTTTTCTATTCTTGTTGATGTTCCTGTCCCCTTATATGCCAGGCAAATAAAAACAGAACAGGTTTCTTCTCAGAAGTTAAAAGCTTCAGTCTGGTCGTTTCTTCTCTTTCATATTTTATTATGAACTTCTTAGGACTATTTGTTTGATTCATATATGGAGGTTAAGACTATTTGGCTGAGATATTTGGGACGCTGAGAGTCAATCAAGTGTCAAGGTTTCAAGCATAATCCAATAGAATTAAAGAAGGAGTAAGAGGAGGACTGACTAATGCATCATTTATACGGCTATAATGGAAATAGCTTTATTCTGAACAATGTTTATATAATGTACAGATTGTTTTAGCGAACTTTAATGCATGATATTTTCTCTTCGTTCAAGATCTTTGAACATGGCGCTAATTGATAGTAGATCGTGTGACATAGTGCTATCTGACCTCGTGAGCAAATCGATCCGTTACCATATCTCCCTTTTGTGTCGTTCGAGAAATTTACCACATTTAATTGGATGCCTATTGTAAAAGGTTTGGGAGTACACCTTGTGAAGCAAAGACAATTCTCAGGAACAGTTTTATCCCATCTGCTGGGATAAGTTGCTGTCCAGGATAATGCTTTTCCTCATGTTTCGTGGAAACTTGCGAATCAACCGATTGTAAGCCCTATAAATACTCACGGGAGTAAATAATACCTCTGTAGTTCCTGATATAAGTATAAAACTTGGGCACTGTGGTAGAGTATAATTCCATAATGGATAAGATTTTATTTTGATAAATCACACAGTGTAGTACAGTTATATTAACTGATGACGTTTCGAGCACAAACTATTGCTCATAATCATACTTGGTATGATTATGAGCAATAGTTTGTGCTCGAAACGTCATCAGTTAATATAACTGTACTACACTGTGTGATTTATCAAAATAAAAAATCTTATCCATTATGGAACCTCTGTAGTTCATATTTTAATCCATTGAAACAAAGATAACAAGCGAAATCATATGGAATGTAGTGAAGGAGGAGTATTCTATTGATATAGTTGTGTTCTCTGAGCTGACTGGATGGTTGATTTGCGAAGCTTTCATTGCCCCCCTACTAGGCAAGATCTTCAGCGCATACTTCAACTTGAATTGAAGTAAGCTTTTTTAGATTTCTCCATTAGTTTATTAGCCATCTCTCCTGGCGGGTGACCTTGAACGTGACTCCTTGGTTGTTTTTGTGTGTGAGATTTCTTTCTTATCGAATGGTAAATTTTGTCTATGTCGATGTGTCTATTGATTGACAATTCACTGGAATACCAGGATTCTAAAAGTTCTCTAGCATTCCTGGTGTTTCCTCTGTTTAATGTTTGAATGTTGTTCCAGTCGAATTGTTGTCCGTGGTTGTTTGTATGCAGTGAGGTGATATGAGTGAGGGAGTGGATATCATTTCTTTTGACGGCTGGTTTATGATCGTGGATACGAAGAGGAAAAGGACGTTATGAACCAGGGGCAAAAACCAGGAACAGTTATCTTATCTTCTGGGATAATCTGCTGTCCAGGGTGATGCTTTTTCTCATGTTTCGTGGAAACTTGCAAATCAGCAGGTTGTATTTATTCTTATTCCCTTGAGTTTCGAGTAGAATATACGGCTTCAACAGAACATCTCCATAATATTCTATTTCCTGCGGTCCTATTTAGCTGGGTCAACGAATTTCCACAGTCTCTAATCTCTTCCTAGCACGATCACCTCAGTCTCACCCTCGAAGTGATGCTCCACTCTTAGTCTTCCATTTGGGTTCCAGTGGAACGATGGCCTGGTAAACGATGTCATTCGACGGTATCCTCAGCGTGTGTCCAGCCTATCTCCATTTCCTCTTACATTTATGTTGGTTGCCAGATTTTCTTATTACTAATTCTTTCTGGCCGGCTGGCTATTTGATCTTCAATATCGAACCAGCGAGGTGGGTATCTGTTAATAAAAGTTTATAACATGCTGGAAATGCTTTTCGTGACACTCCGGCCAAGTATCTGACCTATAAAGAAGAACTAACCGACTTTATATTCGTGTTGAAAATCCTAATCTTATTCTTCGTGATGTGGAGCGCAGAAGATTTCCAAACTGGTTTCAGGTTGATGAAGGCGTATCTTGCCTTTCCGTTTCCGACTGGCTTTGACATCTTCATCCGTGCTGTCCGACTGTGTGTGGTTGAGACGATGCTTCCTGGAGAAGTCAGTGGGGTAACCTCTGTTAAATCTCTCCCGTTAATGGTGATTGGTGCTGGCTGTTGTTGCTGGTTGGTTGGTCGCTTGGTTACCTTGACCACTTCCTTCTTCACTATGTTCACCTGGAGTCCTGTCTTCTCGGTCGGTACTTCGGTCGGTTTTCGACATAGAACTTTGCACATATGTGCGGCAGTTCAAACCGCCACACTCCATTTAGCACACAAAGCAACAGAAGAAAGTAGAAGAAATTCAAAATATAGACAGTAAACAGAGGTGTGAGACAAAGAGATGGTAATAACGAAGAACAAAACAGTTTCATTGGAAATCATAAGTCACAAGGAGTGGATGCATCTGCACCATTGAGAACGATTTTGAGCCATGTCACCAATTGTTTCCAACCATTGGTTTTTACCGTCCCAAGGACCCCAACCAGGAAGTTTACACATTCATACGTGGCTTAGACTAACTGTTGTAGATTTCATTGACTGGTGCCATGTTTTGGTTTGACCGCCGCTAGCTCTTTTCCAGCCTGACCCTATATCAGCTAACATTGCCCGTCAGTCGAGGAAGGCGATGACTAGGCATACGTAACACATTTCCTAACCATCTCAGTCGGTGTAATTCCCCGGCCTCCTCAACTGATTTCCCCTCCTTACCTAGCACTCGACGCCTAACCTCAATATTGCTCACCTTATTATACCACTTCACACGGGAGATAGAACGCAGACACCTATGATCGAACACAGCTAATCTTTTCATGTCTTCTACTCTCAATGGCCATGTCTCACAGCCATAAAGGAGGATTGAGCGGACTGATGAGCAATACACCCGCCCTTCGGTCGGTAGTCGGATATCACGTCTACGCCAGAGACGGCGTAAACTGGCATATGCGAAACTAGCCCTTTGTATCCGTGCTAAGATTTCGTCGGAGATCAACCCGTTGGGGTTGATGGTTCTTCCGAAGTAAGTAAAGTGGTCAACGTGCTCTACCACTTCACTTCCTATTTCTAATCTAGGGGTCGGTGAAGTCCAATCCTGTAGCATCATCTTACATTTTACAGGGGCGAATCGCATGCCAAACATACGGAGATTGCAGCTCAAGGTGTTCAGAAGACTCTGCGTCCTCGCCTAGAAGGACTATATCGTCTGCACATTTTAGGTCAATGAGATTATTCCCTGGTGGTAACAAGTCAATCCCTGAGTCTCTGAAGTGAGTTAAGGTTAATTTCGTTAGTACATCCATGATGAAGGTAAACAGAAATGGGGACGGACAGTGGGCATCCCTGACGGACGCCACTAGTCGTCACCGCTTCAGATGACAACTCGCCGTAAGCCGTAATAATAATAATTTTTTACAATAAAATTTCTGTTTTCTTTTTTTTCGCTACACTTTTATTCAAGGGTGATCGTGAAGTTGTTTGTATACATGTTGGACAAGCTGGTATACAAATCGGTAATGCCTGTTGGGAATTATTTGGTATGGAACATGGCATAAAACCTGATGGACTTATGATTGATGGATTCTTTCCAACGGATAATTCTTTTCGAACATTTTATATGGAAACAGGTCATGGGAAATTTGTACCACGTACGGTGTTTGTTGACTTGGAACCAACAGTTGTAGGTAAGTTTAATTCTATCCATTACTGTTTTTTATCCTTCACGTTCCCCAGTGGAACATAGGGCTTCAAGTTTCTGTAGCAGTATTTATTTTACAGGATGGGGTTGCTCGCCTCATGCCCAACCTTTCCTCTTCACCAGCATTATTTCTGGCTTAGCGAGGTAAAGGAGTGCGTCTGCCGGGGATCGAACCCCGGACCATGTGCATGGTAGGCCAGTGTCCTAATCACTATGCCACCGACGCACATCTTTCATCCATTACTGTAGTGTCACAATATTCTACCTGTTCTGAGGACTATATGACAAACAGTTTGTAAGATTTCGTCTAGTAGGAAGTCGTCATCGGTGAGATCTTTTCTGTTGGGTGTGAAATGGATACACATTCACGGCATTCGCTGGCTGTGGTATTAAATTAGAATTCATTAGGACAGTTAGAAACTACACAGAGTGACTGAATAGTGAACGTGCCTGTCTTATAATTTGAAGGTTCTACGTTCCATCCTTGGTGGGGTCTAGGTCGCGCAATACAGAAGGCGCTCGAAATAGAAAGTAGAGTCTATTCAGGAATTTAATAAACGTGGAAGAACTTCAGTAATTAGATATGATAGAGAAGATTTGTAGCTCAGGTGGATGATTTTGATGTGGTTGCGTTCTCTGAGCTGGCTGAATAGTTAATTTGCGAAGCTTTCATCGCCCTACTAGGCGACATCTTCAGCGCATACTTCAATTTGAATTGAAGTGAGCTTTTAGATTTCTCCACGAGTTTATTAATCATCCCTCCTGGTGACCTTGGACATGATTGGTTGTTATTGTGTTTTTCCACACCTTCTAGGCTACTTGTATTGGTACTGATTGTTCCTTTGACTTGAACTTGGACCCTTTGTGTGTGAGGTTTCTTTCTTATCGGTTGATAAATTTTGTGTATCTCGATGTGTCTATTGATTGATGATTCACTGGAATGCCATTGGCCAAAGTGGACTTTCCCTCTGTTTTCGTATCCATGAACATAAGCTAGCTGTCAAAAGACATGATATCCACTCCCTCATATCACTACATACAGACAAACACGCACATCAATTCGACTGGGAAAACGTTCAAATATTAGACAGAGGAAACAACAAAAATCCAAGAGAATTTTTAGAAGCTTGGCATTCCAGTGAATCATCAATCAATCGACACATCGAGATAGACAAAATTTATCAACCGATAAGAAAGAAACGTCACACACAAAGGGTCAAAGTTCAAGTCAAAGAAACAATCAGTACCAATACAATTAGCCTAGAAGGTGTGAAAACACACAATAACAACCGACCACGTCCAAGGTCACCAGGAGGGATGATTAATAAACTCGTGGAGAAATCTAAAAGCTCACTTCAATTCAAATTGAAGTATGCGCTGAAGATGTCGCCTAGTAGAGCGATGAAAGCTTCGCAAATGAAATATCCAGCTCAGAGAACACAAACACATAAAAAACTTCATTAATTAGATTTCTATTCATCTATTGCTTAATGAATCTTTCCACTGTGAGTGAACGCTGCTACGAACACAATATTTGTTAATTACTTAAGGTGGTCAGAAATATTACATTTTCAATTCATAACTAAATAACGGGATATGCGTAACTAATGCTTAACTTTATAGTGAAACTTATGCTTTTTACGAGTTGATCACTGATTGATATCAGTTAGAGAATCATTGAAAACCAGCTGGGAGTACTGGACAGCTGTATTATTCCAATTTTGCGAATCATCGGTAGTATGCATCGACTGGGGTTTGGACCCTGGATCTCTAAGTGATATCAATCCATGATCAACTCGTCAGAACAAATCTAATCCTTACAAACCGACTATTGAAAGTTAATCTGATGCTCGCTAGTGACTTGCTATAGGATGGAGTTTCCTGGAGTTCTAGTGAGAAGTTGTGACCAGTAGGGGCCATCCAGTCAAGTGTGAGGATGGAGTTCCCGCCTATGACATTGGCTGGTGGTTGCACTGAAATCGAGAATCGGTAGAAGTTAGAATTCATGGGCTGTTGGCCACTGGATCGAGTCCCATGGAGTGAATGGCTTACTAGCCTGACTTGTAATCGGAGGGCTCTATGTTCGAAACCCCAGTGCTATAGTTTGGGTATTTTCTAGGTTTCTTATCTTACCAGGGAGGGGGTCAAGTAATCTGAATTTCGCTAGGCTTTTATGCTCCACTAATCTTACTGACCCCGCCATGCTAATTAGACTTATGCATTTCAACTGAATATTCTTGCAGGATCTTGTTCAGTCTACTGAACGGAATCCTTTTGTTTATGAAAAACCTTGCAATAAGAATATTTTACGATCTACAAACATGACGTCAATTGTGAGTTCGATAGAGTTCACTCGCTGCGTTCAAACTCATTGATTAATGAATTCTGAATTTTGTCAACTCTTCTTAAATGGAAGATGATCAGGAGGGCTTCGTGTGCTTTCTGAAGTGTGTGGGCGGTGGCTAGTTTCAAGCTACCCATATCATGGAAGTTGGCTAATTCTTCGGGTAACTGAAACAGAAAGAGAGTTAGTGTTGTGTGGCCACAGAGCCCAAGGGACAACTACTTGAGGCCAGTCACACACTGCCTGTATGAACTGGCTTTTTGGTTTGGTTCCGTATTAGTAACTTGCTGCAGGATACGGAACACTGTAGGTGGGGTATGTCAGGATGTACAATTTTTGGGGTCGACCTTTTCTAACCTGCTCCCTCTCTCCAGAGTGGAGAGAGAGCATAGTTGGCTGGCATGTTGGTCATCTGAGTGAAACACCTTACTGCTGTTACACTCCTGTTCCCCAGCAGTACGATACTGCCCACAGACCCCCCAGCATAATGTATAATAAATCTTACACTATACCAGTAACTGCTTTTATTATAATCGCTATCCTAACAATCTTCCTGGCATGGTAGGACCTTCAGGAACAATAGATCCAGCCAGCGTAGCTTGTTGGGTCATTACTAAACGGAAGCCCGACCAACACGTCAAGGTAGCAACTATCGGTCTTATATATATATATATATATATATATATTCACCCAACCCCATCGGTGACTGTTTGGATCTGGATTCGATCTCGAATATGATCATGAAACAGTGATCCTGAAGAGGTTCAGCTACTCTTTGTTTTTTCAACGACAAAAATCTACTTGATAAGAAATCGGAAGTTTTTAACACTTTATTGAGTTGAAAAGAGGGGCTCGGCTGAGAGTGATTCTTTCTAACGACATCATTCTTAAACTATAAAGTCTTTCTTAGCGATAAAAGGACTGCTTTCAAAAAATGTGTGACTAGAATACTAAGTTCTAGATAACAGTTACGTAATAGAGAAGTCACCAATCGAGTAGAAACTGAGACAAAATTAACTCAGTGAGCTGAGTGACGCAACGTAAGTAACAGCGATTTCATACACCGGGTTCCCTTTATTAGTTTGAATAAAGAAAGAAAGAAAATATTTCCAGGTAGGATAATCCGAGCTCGTTTTATTTCGTCGATTCTCTTCAACTGCGTGCATCCTAAACAAATCAATTTTATGCTACAAAATTGTGTCTGAGCATACCGCTTACAATGATTTCAAGTTATAGATAGAAAGTATAAGCAACATAATTCCAAGGATGATATAAGCAGACGATTATTTAGTGTTATTAGTTAGACATTTGACGAGTCGAATTCAGATTTCTTTTGAAAACAAGAATGGACTAGAGAAAAGATAGAAGATAAGACAGCAGAGTGAATTTATACATATTATGGTGCAGAGTTCAAGAGGGTTGGGTGGGGGGGGGGGGAATAGTGAAGTAAAATTGTAAAATAGATAAAATAATTTACTTTAGCAGATTGTGAACCTAAAATAGTGAGTTCAACTCAGTGAAAGAAAATGAAAATGAAATGACAGTACTGAGTAGAGCTCAACGAAAGACTGAAAGAGGGTCAAGTTAAGATTAGTGTCATGAGAAGTAGAAATGTAATAGTAGGAAGGGGGAAAAATAATAATATTTAATGAGGAAAACATCACGAAATTGAGATGAGTGCACAGAATATTCGTATATTGAGTCATACGCGAAAAAAGGTGTGAACAGCGGGGAAAATTTTCTTTTTTGATGAATCATTTTCAAGAGCTGCACACTCGTATTTATATTTAACGAATAATTTTCCAGTATTGGTTTGTAGAGACTTTGTTTCATTGGTTAGAGGATTTCATCATGAGCTGATATCAGTTAGAGATCTATTGTAAAACAACCACAGGGAGTACTGGACAGCTGTTTTGTCCTAGTTGAGCACTCTTCGGCAGTACGCACCCACACTGCCGGGTTCGGAACCCCACAGAAGATATTGACTAGTGGTCACGCTATGTCGTGAATTGGCAAGAGCTAGAATTCATGGGCCGGCTATTGGATTGGGTTCCGGTGGCCTAATGGTCTTTGAGGTCGCCTTGTTAAAGGAAGGTCCTGGGTTCAAACCCCACCTTGTGGATGCATACTGTTGAGGGATCCCAGGCACTGTCCAGTACTCCCATCTGGTTTTACAGTGATTCTCTAACCGATGTCAGCTCATGATGAAATCCTCTAACGAAGAATTCATAATTCATAAGACTACCAATGAGATAATGGTAAGTTTGTATTAGAAAATGCAATACATAATGTAAGGTGTGCTCAAGAAAAAGGGAGTAGATATTAAGATGACGTAATAAGTATGAAAAATGACTAATTAGTACACTTGTATGAAGGGGACAAAAACTAGTGTAAATACGATAAAGTGTTTTTATAAAAAATCTGTATGAAAACTCAGTTTTATTGATCAACAGTAATAGAGTGATAATAAAATAATAATAATAAACTTTCACAATAAAATGAAGCAAAATTATAATAAGAACATTACTCTGGCTGCTGCATATCCGTGCAAAGTTCTATGTTGAAAACAGACAGACAGACAGACTCTGGCTGCTGCAAGGGAAGTGATTGTATGTTGT